GTACTGTATTTGTCAGTAATTCAGACAGGAATTGTGATGAAAATATAGCAAACAGATTATTAGTTTTTGTTTTAATTTGTCATTGTACTGCCTTTGAAGTAAAATGGAAAATGAAAGGGAGAATAATGTATTTATTGAAGAGGATATGTAAAATAATTTGAGTAAAAATAAAAGTATATGTAAAATAATTTGAGTAAAAATAAAAGTATTTTTCCAAAGTAAGTTTTCCGATAAATGATCAGCTCTCAAGTCCGGGCACGGCTGATTAAAAAGACAGCTCCTATAGATCCATCAGAGTGTTTCATCACACTCGGTGAAAGTAACTCGCCCTCTGTTTCTGCAGGTTTGGCCTGTTTCCTGCAGTCTGGGCGCTATGATTGGTTACCTGACCGGGCTTGTTGCTGCTCCCGTGTGGATCCATTATCATCGTAAACAGCTCACATACAAGTGCAAGTGACAGACGAACGAGCGGCTGGCTGTCTGTGTTAGTCTGAATGTGTTCTTTAGGTCCGTTTGGATATTTTGCCGATTATTTATTGGGGAGCGGTCGTGCTATTTGCAATTTATAAAAAGATTTTTTAACAACACAAGACATGGTTTTGTACACGTGCAGGCGTGTTGTTTTTTTTTTTTTTTTTTTTTTTACAAGAATAAACCATTATATAACAAAAGTTGATGTGAAGTTGGTCATTTATTCTGGGCGTCAATTCATAAGCGTCAAATCATTCCTTATACTATTTCATACATGCAGCTCAATTAGGAATGACTTGTACAATCTAGATTAGGCCTGTCACGATAAACAATAAATCAATCGCTTGATGATTGAAAATTATCTACCTCGTTTTCATTTATCGGCTTTATCGTTTCTTCGTGTCTCTCTCTCTCTACTGAAGACACTGGATGACAAAATGCTCAACTCCGGTGCTCTTCACTGACCCCTTCTTTTCTATTTAAAATCTCTTAACCATCCAAAATCCTGTTTTTGGATGGTTAAAAGCAGCTAAGCTACGAGCTAAGCTAACAGGCTAACATTGGGGGGGAAATCCTCCGTCTTGTCGAAGCACCAAAGTTCACGGTTGAAACCCGTGCCTTCATGTAAAAAGTTGTTTTTCTCTGCAAAAAGAAGCTGAGAACTTGTTTACTGATTTTTTAAAATTTTTAATAAAAGCTTTGTGTGAAAAATGCTATGCTGAAGAGTTCAAACCACACCGAGCGTCCGCCATTTTGAGAACCGAAGAGAGACAGTCCATGTCACGTCAATGGCCTTCCTCCCATAAAGAGACACGCTGCTCGCCCCCTCACTATCCATCCTTAGGTTCAAACCGTCTTATACTGCCATCCAGTGGTCAAAAAAGGTACTACACACAAAATTAACCAAGATTTTTAAAAATTTGACACTAATTACTAATTATTCTCTAATTTCCAACAAAAGTATTGTTTATTGCAATAATTTCTGAGACAATTAATCACCCAGCAAAATTTGTTATCGTGACAGGCCTAATCTAGGTAAAATTCCAAAACAAACTGTGAAAAAAATAATGGGGCTTAATGGGATTTCGGCAAAACACAGACACCTTTGGAGCTCCGTAGCTCAGACATGCTTCACAGCTGAAACATTCAGAGTTTAAAACAGAACGCTGGACTTCACATGTCTGAATTGGCATTTTGATATCTTTTAGGATTTTCACACAATAATGGTTTAAAATTTTATATTTGTTACAGATTTGTCCATTAACAGTTGTTGTCACACACTTTTAAATTGTCTAAATTATTCAAATCTTTTGCAAATTAACTGATTTTTCTTCTACAGCTCTTTTTTGTACGCATGCAAATTATACACCAAAACAGGCATTTTAGTCTTTTTTTGTTTTCAATTCAGTTCAGTTTATTTATATATAGTGCCAAGTCACAGAATCATCTCAGGGCACTGAACAGAAACATTCACAGACATTATAAATGTCAATTAGTAAAGTTATCTATAAGGAAGACAGCAGATTGCGCTGAGTCATCATTTCATCGCAGTCTCCCATCTTGAGCTTGCACGAGGGCAACAGTGGAAAGGAAAAACTCCCTCATAACAGGAAGAAACCTCCAGCAGAACCAGGCTCAGGACGAGCGGCCATCTGCTTCTTCTTTAACCTGGTTTCACACGTTTCCAGGAGTTATAGTTGTTTTGTTTTTCAAATCCCTCAAGATGCAGAGAGCTCACTCCAAGCTTCTATTATAGCCTAAAATGTTTTAGTCCAGACTTGAAGTAAAAGGTCTTTTTTAATCTGTCATAACTTTTAAATTAAACCATGTAGAAAAATAAAAGCTCACCTATGTGATCCTCAGAGTTTCCTGCTACTAGTTCAAGAATTTGTAATAACTGGCTTGTAGTTTTTGCACAGGGACCGTTTGAGGTCCGTTTGAGACTAGCGGGGCCTGCTAACGCTGCTAACAAGATCCTCCGTCTGTCTACACAGACCAAACTCTACAGACCCTTTCGGTTCCGAAGGGGAAACCTTGGATGTTTTCTGTCTGCTGGACCGGGTTCTGGACTGCGATCTGTGAGGGCAGGTGCTGCGGTCCTTATTACCATCAAGTTGCTGACCGGACCTGCAAACAAGACCACGCAGCTGAACCTCACTGCTAGCCGAATCACACTTTAGATTTATTTCTTTTCAACTTTGGCGCCTTGTTTTGTAGTACTTTAATAGTATTTTTTTTTGTATTTTAGTAAGTTTTTAGTATTTTTGCTGCATGCTTTGGTGGTGTTGTTTTTTTGGCGAGTCGAGACGGTTCTTCTCGTCCTAAGCATTTCATTGCATCGTTGACCTTGTGTTGATTTTGCCTATGACAAATAAAGCTAACCTGAGGCTTACTTTTCAGTCTGTTTCTATGAACATGTCAGGAAGTTAGACAGGTGTGTGGTTCCCAAGGTGACCATGATGAGCCACTGGCAGCAGCTTGGTCGTTTCTTAGTTTCTAATACAGTATAGCAGATTGATGATGTAATTTAGGGCAGAATCTTTTCAGAAAGGTTTTGGTTTGCAGCTCAAATTTTCTGAGACCTGTAGACGGTGCTGTTGGACCACAACCTGCGTGTTTATTCACACCAGTTGAAATTAAAGCCAAGCATCAAACGGAGCTTAGTAATTTGCAAGGAACTACAATCAATAATGTGCTGGGATGATCATTTAAACATAAACTAAATGTCGACGCTACTCTGCTCCTAAAGCTGTCTGTTGTTGAACGCCGTTTCTTCTTAAACAGCCATTAATCTTGCTCCATCTCCCATTACAACACTACAATACCCCCTCCACCCACCCCTGGCTCTTATTCTCATTCCACCTTTCACATCCTCAGGCTACCATATTGATTCACTTTCTTTTTAGGGACATTAATTTCACCCCCCTTCCTTTCACGCCGCCCACATCTCTTGTTCTCCCTTGCAGCCTTCAGCCAGAATGAGACTTAAATTTTCTGCAGTGTTGTAAAACAAACACTTCTTGCAGACAGTTTGGACACTTCTGTATGATTTAAGGGATTGTTTTAAAGGGGGGCAAAGTGCATCATTTTCAAAGAAATGATCTGGTTGGTGTTGGACATTTCAGTGTTCAGCCAGGGGGGGCAAAGCTCCTTTTACCCTTTACTTGAACTCTTAAATAAGAGTGTTGCCAGGGGAAAACAGCCTGAAGGAAGAAATAAATAAAAAAAATAAGGGAGTCTTATTAGCAAGCATGCATCTGCTTAAAACACCAATCAACACCTTTCCTCATGCTTCGGTCTCGTCATCCGTGTCATGAAATTCAATCCAACCCCATGCTGTTAACTCCAGCAGCCTTGTTCTCTCTGCTCTTTTCCCCCACTCTTCTTTATTTTCCATCTCAGCTGTGAGATGTCGTCACTCCTGGAGAGTGCTGCTGAGTGTGACCTCTTGAAGAGCCTATATGTGACACTCAGCTGGTTCTGCTCTGGCCTGAACCAAATCTCTCCTCGATCATCCCCCAACCCCCCCAGCAGCACCTCAACGTCAACATAGGACAGCAAAAGATGAGTCACACTCGTTACATTTGTTTGGGATATTGTTTTTTATCAGTTCCTTGAACTGCTTTCTTCCTTTAAGGTGAGGGCCATATTTTGTGTTTGAGATAGCTCAGATGGCTGAAAAGCCAACTGACATGACAAAAAACAAAAAAATTACTACAACTGAATCAGTTTTACAAATATTGACCTAAAATTTAGTCTGGTTGGAGCTGAGAGTCATTCACAACACATACTTAAAGCATGACACCTAATAATATCACAAAACAAATATAAAATGGCAATCAGAAAGCTGGAGAGAAGAATTTTTTTTAATATTTATTGAAATAATACAAAACAATACAATAAAATGCAGTGCACAGTAATGAAATAACAGCCGCCATGGGGTTACAAACATTGAAACAATACTTTACAATAAACATAAAGAGAGCACATAAGGTGCAAGTTTTAATGGCCTTCATATTGGTGGAATATGTAATAGTTTTGATATATTGTTTGACCTCATTTTCTAAAATAGAGATAAGCGGTTTTTGATTAGTGTAACATCATTTGTGAATGCCATTTGGCGAGGTATATAATAAGAGTAATATTATAGAACTGGCTTTTTTTTTTAGCTATTGGGTATGTGAAGCTGCTGGAGAGAAGATTAAAAAAAGGCAAAAAATAAAAAAGAATAATAATAATTGCCCACTAGGGCAATTTGTATCTGTCATTTCCAGATAAGCATGTTTGAGAGAGAGGTTACTTTTCTTTTGTTTTGTTCTTCTGGTCAACCGTTTGTTGAAAAGTTGTTGTTTTTCAGTGGGAATATGTTTAAAACATGTTAGTTAATAAAAATTTTATGCTCAGCAGCTGTAATAATTAATTGAACATAGTGAATAATAGTTAAAACATTCTAAAAGTTGATGTTTCTTTACATATTTTGTAGCATTGTTCGTGGGTTTGCAAGGGGGGCCTCGACCAGAAGCTAATGGGGTCCATGGCATGGAAAAGTTTGGGAACCCCTGCACTAAACAATTAAATGTAAAATAATATGGTATACAGCAGCCTGAACATGAGCCTGTTGTGAGCATGAATGCAGCAGCTTAAAGGCAAGAGATCAGCAGCATGGATAATCAGCAGCACAGATAAAGTGACATATCACCAATTAAAGTGGCATTACAGTGATTTTTGATCACTCACAAAACATGATCCTTGTCTAAAAGTAAAGCTTTCGTTTTTCTGCACATCTTAAAACAATCTAACTGCGTCTGTGATGTGCTATTTTAACCATTTATTTATTAAAATGTTCAGTCCATTTAATAAATCCTGTAACTTTTATCAAAACACATTTATCTAGTATTTTTCTACATTTAAATCTTTTCATGCCTTTTGTTTGTTTTATCTTTTATAGCAGTTTGCTTTTTTTAGCATTTTGTGCGCATTTTGATAGTTTTTAATGATTTAGCTATCTTTTAGCTATTTTTAAGTTGTAGTTAGTTTTTAGCTACTTTCAGCTTGAAGCTACCTTTTTGCTTTTTAACTTTTAGCTAGCGTTTTGCTACTTTTGGCTTTTAA